AAGGAAAAATTCTGAATGCAAATAATAATAATAATAAGGTTTCAGAAAGTTTATAGCAGCAATGCTTATAAAAGCAAAATGTTTGAATGATATAAAGATACAATAATAAAGGAATGCTTTAGTAAAGTATAATATAACCAATTGATAGAATAGTGAAGCAGAATAAAAAGTGTGTGTGTGTGTGTGTGTGTGTATGTGTGTATGTATATATATATCAAAAAGATGAAAGGAAATATACCAAAATGTTAACACTGTTTTTGCTAAGAGATAAAGCTGATAGTAATTATTTCTTTTAATTTGATATTTTCAAATTTTCCATGATGAATATTGTATTTATAGTTTTTTAAGCATATTTTAAAAGAAATCTTTTATAATCCATACTTATTTGCAGACTAATAAATGTAGAAATCAAGGGAAGTCTGCTTACCAAGTACATCTTTGGCTGTTTCTTGATGATATTCTTCTGATTTTCGTTGGGGGAAAAAAAAATCAAGTAAAGGATAAGAAGTAATTCTAGTTCAAGGTGATGAACTGAATACACACACACACACACACACACACACACACACACACACACACACCTCTGCCTTTCCTGCTGATGAAATGTAACAGAAACTGTTCCGGACCACCTGTATCCTATTCTCCTCTCCTTCCTAGGTACACAACTAAAATTTAATTTCTCAGCTTCTCTTGATGGGTCCAGCCAGTTAATGTTGACAGACGTGATACACTACACTTCAAAACCTCTCTGTAAAATATCTCTCTTTCTTTCTCTACTTCTCTCTATATCTGTCCTGCCTGGAAGTGAAAGACTCACAGCCTAAAGGAGAACTGGTCAGAAGAGATGCCCAAACATTTGGAATATCAGACTGGATTCTTTGACGCAGAAATACACTGTTATTATATTAAGCTACTGAGATTTGGGGTTTGTTTGTTACCACAGCACAGTCTAACCTACTCTGACTAATATGCCAAAGGTCTAGTGAAAGTATAGGCATCTGGAGGCACCCGGCTGGCTCAGTCAACTAAACATCTGACTCTTGATTTTGGCTCAGGTCATGATCTCATGGTTCATGAGTTCAAGCCCCGAGTCAGGCTGCGCTCTGACAGTGTGGACCCTGCTTGACGTTTTCTCTCTCCTTCTCTCTTCTCTCTCTGCCCCTCCCGTGCTCAAAATAAACATTAAAAAAAAGAGAAAATATAGACATCCATGTAGAAATAAACCCATAAACACATTTTTAATGAAAGAAGTTTAAGAGAGGCAGTTTGACAGAAGCAACAGAACAAAGACAGCTGCAGCCCCAAATATGTACAAGACGAGGCTGCAGAGGAAGTAGGAAAGGATCTCCCCATAAGAAACGCAAAGATTATGGCACGGAGAGTGGAGGAAAGGTCTGAGCAATGGAGCAGAAAACAGGGAACTGGACGGACTTTGTAGATGGAAAAGTTGCGCCAGTTTTTCTGCTCAATGATCAATCGGTCAGCCAGTGTTTACCTTCAAGGAAGAAAAAAAAAATCTTCTCTATACCGAAGAAAAAGGGAAAACTGAGGCTGCTAGGAGGAATGATCCAATAGGATCTCCTAAAATAGAAAAAAAATGGAGAGCTGGAAATTATTAGAGAAATAACAATCAAATATTCCCCAACCTGAAGAAAGTGAGTTTTCTGGTTATAAGGGCACCTGGAGTATGCTGCACAAAAACTGTAAAGGGACCTCCCTGGGCACAGAATCATAAAATTTCAAAAGAGCAAAGAGCGAACGAAGACCAATTCAAAGATCATGGAATAGTCAAGGTGGCCACTTACAGAACTGAAAGCTGAAACAGTACAAAATGATTGCCTCTGAAAGGCATTGTTGAAGGGATGGCGCGGGGGACTTGCTGTTCGTTATAACTTCTTCTACCTTAACTTTGTATTTCTCATTTCTGTGTATTACCTTGATGTATTTTCATTTGAATTTGAAAACAAAAGAAGTCAAAGTGCTGCCTACCATACCTCTATTCAAATCCGTACCTGTGGATTATGAGTAAGAGAAAAAAAATCCCCTACCTTCACAGAACTATCTTTTGCATAAACAAATCACACTAATTAAGTTCAAAATATGCACCTTCCCAAATACTTACAATCAACCTAGGTCTCTGGTTCTCTCCCTCATTGGTTCTCAACCACATTAATCGTTGACAGAAGCCAGGATAAGATGCATATTTGTGTGGTACAGCTACAACTGCATTCAAAGTCCAAATTAGTCACCATTTAAATCATCATATTATTTTCCCTCCACTAGCAACTATTAATTAAGAGTTCAGTTTTATATATTCACACTCTGCCATTTTTCAGGGGAAAATAAGATTGGAAATCACTTATAAAACAGCATGCAATTCATCAAATAGAGATTTTTTAAAAGGTAACACAATAGTAGAAAGAGGAAATCTAACAGACCAACCACAACAGACGAAGCATCGCTGAGTGAACATTAAACTGACACCATGTTTCCAGGCAACTGAGGCAAAGAGAGTTGTATAAGTGGAAAAATTCTCATTTGATAGAAGAAAACAGACCAATTTCTTAGGAAAGACAAAAGTCTTTCTTGAACAAACCTGGAGAGAAGTACATGGGGGTGGAGCCCCACAGAGGGAGCGCTGTGAAATATGAGGGCAATGTTCTCAGTAACTTCTCAGCAAACACAGACGGAGGATTTGTCTTTGACTGCATACCTCCCTACCCCCCAACACACCCACTCATAAAACCCACCTCTTTTTAAAGGCCCATCCTGATTATACGAGGTAAGTCATTCCCAGACTTGCCTGATCATAGCAATCAACTGGTCTGCTAGTTAGAAATTCCATTTCCTTGAGCCCTCCACCAGAGACTGATTTGATTTGATAAGTCTTCAAAACTCTCCAGTGTTAACACACTCCCCAGGTGAGCAGGCAAATCTGGGAAACAAGGTGATAGGTGATAGTCCACAGCTGCAAACGAGCTTGTTCCTCTTGTTGATTATGTCCCAGCTGTTTAACCTCCCTCTGCCTGACTCCTCAAAGCATCCTAAAGCTGGACTCGCTCCAGATGACAGCCTGCTCTGACATGTATTTGCAGAAAAGCATTTGAGAAAGATAAGGAATGTAACATTTGTTCCTTGATGATAATAACTCAAACCTCCATACTCCCTTCCTCCACAACACCAATTTCATCAGTATCACCATAAGAATTCACTAGAGGCTCCACATGATATATATCATGCACACGAATTGATACAAACACATCTGTGCTGATGTGCACATCTTTTTATCATTACAGATGATATGTCGGCTGCTGCATAATGTTTTTAAAGTCTTAAGATTGCATCTATTTATTTCTGAAACAGGGCGGGGGGTGGAATCTCCCTGGGAAAAGAGGGAGGCTTACATTTTGCTGGACAACCATGCTGAATTAATTGCACTTCCAAAACATTCTTGCCTCAACCACATTTCAAGAAGACTCTAAGCTACAGAGAATGAAAACTACCTTCCACACACATCGAAATCAGGAAATAAGAAGAGGCACCAGATTGCCACCCCCCACCCACCACCTCCCACCCTCCCACACACAGGATCTTATTTCTCTCCTGCCATTCATGAGAAACCTGGTGATTGCAGGGAAATTGGAGATGAAATGGTCACAAAAGTAGAAAGATATTTAGCCTAAGGACAGCTATATGTGTTCCAGAACAAAGTAAAAAAAGGTCAAACCTAAGTCAAAGGAATGGCTCAGCTTTCTCTAAAACAGAGACAGAGAACGTTTCTCAGCTGAAAACAAAATAGGAGCAGGAGAGGAAAGAAACCTGAGATACAGCTTGATAGCATTCTCTCATCTTGGCCAAATGTTCATTTGGACTGTCAAAAATGATGGAGAATCAAACTGCATAAAGCCTAAAGGTGTAGTATGGTCTATAAGTAAATAAAAAGATCCCTAATCATGGGTTAGCAGTGGGGGCCCAAAAAATGCATTGCCCATGTACCGTGAAGTTTTAGGATGCACGGGGAGTCCTAGATCCAAAAAAAGCCAACTGCAGAGGTCAGACCTGCTATGTGCATTCCCAATCAGCCTAACCAGTCAAACCCTGGCCATCTAAAAAGGATTAAATATTAGTTATCATTTCAATCCTATGTAAGAAGATCTATATTTCTCTTTTAGACACAAAATTCTCTAGAGAGTGGGGCTTGCCAAACACTCTGAAAAAATAATCTCACAAAATTCTTGCAACCCACTGTGTTATGATTTCATCTCATGAAATACAACACCTTTACATTAAACCTCATAAAACTAAATCCCACTGGATCTCTTCCAGAGTCAGAGAATAAGCAGTTCTGTTGGGGATGCTTAGAAAAGTGAAACACAGCCTCTTCTCATTGGGCCAGTTCCCACCACTGGGTCCATTTCACAGGGAATAATTTTCCTTACTTCTACCAAATATTTACATGTGATTAATCTCACACATAATAGATCTTGCAAATTATTTGTGAATAAAATAACACCTTCCAACATCATGATGTTAATTCCCCTAAACAGTATCTTTAAGTTGAAATGTACACAAATTCATTCTGGTTTTCCAGTCTATGAAGTTGTCTCTGGTTCTCCTGGATTCATCTGTGGGTGATCAAAAGTATGAAAACAAAGGCCATGAAGGACAACATAAAAGGCTCTCTGGCCAAAGAGAAATTCTCTTGGGTTTCCATTATAGTCTTGACTTGAGAACAAGAAACAGTTGCCTTGCTAAATAGCATGACAATATCTCCATGCAACATACACACACATTCGCACAAAGCAAATCTTCACATGGTCTCATCAGTAGCTATATATTTTTCCAATACTTTCATCTTCAGCAACAAGGCCATCCTTCCATAAAGATTTCACCAAGAAATCAATGACCAGTAAATCAATGAGTGATACTCCATGCATTCGTATTATTATTATTATTATTATTATTATTATTATTATTATTTATTATTTCTCTTTACTCACATTTATCTCCAGTCTTTCCATTTGTCTCAAAGGTGGGTCAAACATCATTAAGGAGTTGTCTCTATCAATCCCATCAAGACTCTTCTTACCAGAATTCCACACCACATGTCTTCTCACGTGCCCTCTAATCTGTAAGACAGAAACAATACCTTTTTACCAGGGTTTCTTATTAGTCTTAAGTGAGAATAATTACCACCAAAAACACTTTTTAAACTAACATCAGTTGTTGTGATTGTTATTAATGAGCCCAGGTTGAACCTCCAAAGTCCACTCTTTCCCAAGATCATTTATTCATTCTACAAATATGTTCTGAGCACCTATTAAGTGCCAAGCACTACATGGTTCAATGATGACCAAAAACAACTATAGCTACTGCCTTCATGGAGCTTATTATGGTCTGCCTAGTGAGGGGGAAAGACATTAATTTAATAATCACACTAAAAAAATGGAAAATTACAACTGAAATAAGTGCTTTGAAGGAGCTGTACATAGTGTTGTGAGAATTTATCATAGAGGATTTGACCAGCAGGGGTCATTATGGTTCACTTATTTAACAGTATTAATCGGGCACATTAATTACCACATACTGTGAGGTGCTGGGGATTCAAAGACTAACACATGATGCCAACCCTCAATCAGTTCACCATACAGAGAGGCATATGTGTAAATAAGCAAGCACAGCAACATCACAAGAGGACAGTGAGGCACAAAGGAAGAGCTAATTCCATAGAAAAAGAAAAGGGAATGGATATGGGAAAAGATTTTGTAAGGGAGGTGAACCAAGTCTTAAGGAATAAGTAGGAGCTTCTTGGGCTCACCCTGAGAAAAGGCACTTCAAAAAGAAGCAGTGTGAGCAAAGACAGAGCAGTGGAAAGTATTACATGAGAGCAGTCGTTCTCAAGGGGGTGATTCCCCTTCTCCTCCACCACCGGGGGATACTTGGCAGTATCAGGAGACGTTTTTTTGGTTTTGACAACCTGGGGGGCAGGGGGAGGTACTGCTGGCATCTAGTAGGTAGAGACCAGAGATACTGCTAAACATCCTACAAAGTACAGACAGCCCCCTACAACAGAAAGTTTTCTGGCCAAAATGTCAACAATGTTGAGGTTGAGAAGCCCTGCGTTAGAGGAAATACAGCAGGAGAACTTCATCATTCACATATGTATGTCAGCGAAATAGGAACACTTCTACTTTCATGTGAAAAACAGTCCCCAGAATTGGATGTCCTTCCTCTCTGAGGTGTCGCTCACATCTCCATTTAAGAGACATCCAAGAAATGAAGCACACACAGGGGGCTGGGGTTTGAGGAAAAGGTCTGCACTGGAAATACAGGTTTAGGGCACACCATTGAGATGATCACTTAAGTCCTGTGAGTGGATGAGGCCATTCAAGAAGAATATGTGAAATACTGAAAATATTAAAAACCCCCCCCCCCCCCCCCGGGGGGGGGGGGGGGGACTCCATTTAAGAGGCTGACAAAAGAAGCATCAGCAAAGGGAAACATGAATGGATAATCAAAGACTAGAAGGGAAACCAAAGGAGAAGGACACCATGAAAGTCACAGAAGAATAGGATTTCAAAATTAAGGGATAATTATTCAAATGAGTTGAAAATGTATGTCTATACAAAACCTGAACACAGATGTTTACAGTCTTATTCACAATTGCCCAAACTTGGAAGCAACCGTAAGGTCCTTCAAACCGTGAATGGATAACTATGGTACATCCATACAATGGCATATTACTCAGTGACAAAAAGAAATGAGCTAGCAAGCCACAAACCAACTTGAAGGAAACTTAAATGCAAATTACTGAGTGAAAGAAGCCAATTTGAAAAGGTTACATACTGTAAGATACCAAGTATATGCAAAACTATGGAGATAATAAAAAGACGAGTGGTTGCTAGGAGCTCCAGAAAAAAGAAAGAGGGACCAACAGATAGAGCACAGGAGATTTTTAGGGCAATGAAGCTATTCTGTATTATACTGTAACAGTGGATACATGACATTACGCACTTATCAAAATCCATATAACTGTACAACCCAAAGAGTGAACCCTAACGTAAACTAGGGACTTCAGTCAACACTGACGTACCAGTACTGGCTCATCATTTGTAACAAATATACCACACTAATTCAAGATGTAAAAACTGTGATAGGGGAAAGAGGAGGTATACGGGAACTGTCTGTACCTTCCACTTAATTTTTCTGTAAGCCCAATCCTGCTCTAAAAAATAAAGTCTATCAACTGTTCTTAATATTAAATATTTGAGTAATATATGTGCTAATGAAGGTTAATGTAGAAAAAGAAGCTAAATTTTACCTTAATGGTAAATTTTAATATTTTAGGTAAAATTCAATATAAAGGTAATTATAATAGATAATTTATCTTCCAAAAAATTGAGTGATAAACTGATAAATGCCACAGAGAAGTCAAGTGGGAAGGAACAATACTGAATCTACTCAACTTGACAATTAGGGCATCACAGTGACCTTTGACAGAATGGTGAAATGGTCAACGAAAGGATTACAGTGGGCTCAACATAAATTAGTGGTAAGAAAGTGGATAAATTGAGTATAGAAGCTAATGCTACCATTGCAATCCTTTGAAATATACAAATGTATCAAATAAACACCTTAAACTTACACAATGTTATATGTCAAATATATTTCAATTTTTATAAATGCAAAAGAAATAGTGTAGACAGCTCTTTCAAGAAGCTGGGTTGTGAAAGAATAAAAGGAGAGTAAGGGAAGCAGAATAGAGATTTTTTTTTTCTTAATACAGAAGGGACTTGAATATGTTTGTAAACTACAGGAAAGACTCAGCAGGGATGAGAAATACAGCAAAGAGCAGAGATGACTAAAGAACAAAGTCAACTAGGAAGCCGTGGCAGAAAACTGACTCAACTCTTGGAGGAAAAAAACAGGGACATCTTCCTTTGATATTTTAATTAAGTTTTAAGGAGATTTTGAAAGACAAGGGGTAGTGACCAACTACCAAACAGAGGAGAGAGTAGCAAGACCAGTTTTGACTCCCTTACCATCCGACCTGGTCTTCAGTCTCAGGTTCCTAAAGATCAGCATCGGGAGCACTCAACAAGCTTACACAGGCCAGCTGTGCAATATAGATTTGTGTGAACTTGAACCGGGAATCAGGAATCCTAGGACCCACTCACATTCCCCTACCCTACATCTATCACATCTGCACACCACAATAGCATCATTTCTTAGTGATTTCACCAAGTTTCTTGACCCTCCTGGGACCATGGAAACATCATCTATAAAACAGAAGCACCATCTTTCTAGCCTCCTGCTGGGTGCTCGATCAACTGATATTGGGATTGTTTCTTAGTATAGACAGTGATACTGCAGATGGACCACTGCTTTGGCTGAGGAGTGAGGCTTCTGGCCAGGGAGATTTTCTTTCTAACATCATGAAGAAGAAAAACAAGTCAGCCAAGCAGTATTCTCTATGGAAAGTTCCAATATCTATCCTCCCAAAGTCAAAACAACCTCAAAAGATAAACTTGTGCTCTGAGGTCAATATGAACTTCAACATGAGCCAATCTAATGTTAACCAACACTGGGATTCATTGAATTTTTTAAAACCTTTCTGTTTATATCAAGGAAAATTGCACTGAGATAATCACAGATGGACTAAGCAATCTCTGAAACAAACAAAAACAGTTTAAATGACTTTATATGGAATAAAATCTTTATCACAAACTTTTGATCTTATAAGCAAGGCATTTTTTAATCAAGAAGGAGAATGTTCCAAAAAGGAAGGAAAAGACTAAAAACCGTATCATCCCATAGTATGTTTCCATAAACTAAAGATCAAAGCCTAAGGACCCAACACATCCTACTCCCATAGCTCAACCATCCTGGTCTAAGAAATTTAGCAGAGTATAGCATGGAAGTCTTAGTTAGAAGGTTTTCCAAGAGAAGACATTTCAGTACCATAGCAATGAGTTGGCAAACTTCCTCTAACCTCAACCTTACACCCTGACACTTTTACTTCCAATTGCTTCTTCTACAGCCCCAACCGAGGTCTAATCAGATTGAAAGGGCCAGGGATAGGCCATGGGGCAGCCTGACTCACACACCATACATTCAAGTCTATGACCAGGATTACTGTGAAACCCTTGGTAAGAGCCTTACAAGAACACTAATAAATTCAAAGAAAACTGGTGATCCTAAATGCCCCCCAATTCATCTTCCTAGAGGTTCTTTAGACCAAGGATGAGCTAGAGATGGGCCCTTCCCTGGCCATGCCTTAGTCTTATTCCCCCATTCCCACTGTCACCATGTCTTCAGCCCTTGACCAGAACGCAAGGACATTCTATGGAAAGAAGATAGGTGGCAGGACCTATCTGTGCTGTGGAAGGATTCATCCGGATCAGGGAACTAGAAACTGCATAGAGTATTCACTTCCAAATTTAAATCTAGAACTGATCAGTAATGTAAGAAGTGAGATTATATCTCTACATGAAATTATGATCAGGAAATAAAACTAACACATTGTCCTGGAAATGTGCAAACAAGAAATTAGTCATGGTGAGGAATACCAGAATGAAGCTAAAAAGATCCCAGGAGTTTATATCCTAACTCCCACTCTTGGCTGTAAGTGTGTTTTCTCTGCCTTCTTGTCTCTTGTGCACTGTATATACAGAATGCTGATACAAAATGGCAGCAGGTTGCTTATTTCTTTCCACACCACACCAAAAGAATAAAGACCATCTTGTGGCTATAACAGGTAGATTGGAATGCTTGTGTTTCTTTAACGAAATGTCTTATAGCTCCCAAAGTAATTTTCTATGTATTGTTTTGTAGTACAAAATACCACTGAATATCTCATACTACAAAATAGTCTTAATGTGACTTTAGGGAACACATGACATGTTAGGATCAAGTGTTTGATGCATAAATATGCCCATGTGGTGCCTAAACTGCCACAATGAATCCTAGGTCTTGTAGAAGATCATCTGAATACTTGGGGCCAGATGTTGGTACATAGGGCACTTATCATAAATTGATTCTTATCTGTGGTAATGTCTGATTTCTCCTACTAGAAATTAAACTCCAAATATACAAGGAACATGTGCCATCTTCTCCTTTCCCTTCCTCT